TAGATTTCCAAAAGGCTTTTGATGTTGTCCCCCACAAGAGGCTCTTACTTAAACTCAAAGCGACAGGTATTTTAGGAACTGTAGCGAGCTGGATTGATTCCTCAGGCAGGGCCGCGGGCAGGACAGGAGAGGCGGCTTCAGGCAGGGCCGCAGGCAGGACAGGAGAGGCGGCCTCACGTAGGGCCGCGTTGGGTGTGCGACCAGCAGGGGGCGCCTCGGTGGGCGCCGCCATCACGCGGCCAGCAGGGGGCGCTGCCATCACGCAGCCAGCAGGGGGCGCATCCGCGGCCACCTCGCGCAGTGTCGCAGGCAGAGTGGTGGCAGCTGCAGGGACTGCAGGCAGAACAGGCGGGTCAGGCAGGACAGGCGCGTCCAGGCAGGACAGGCGGGTCAGGTGGTGCCGTGGGCAGCGCGGCAGCAGCAGCAGCAGGCTTGCATATAGTAAAGAACTTGCATATAGCCATTGAATATATCTGGGAAGGAGTGGCATATGTATATTTGTGAATTTCAATTTCAAATGCACATCATCGTCGCCTGTTCTTAGCAGACAACCTGTGGGGATTGTAAAGGGAGCAACAACCTCACGGCCCTCGTTCAAACTCACAGCCCTCGTTCGGTCCGATAACTCGGGGTTATAATCCCAAGTATTTTAACTCCGATGCCTTCAGAAAAAAAGTTGAGCCCCAGGTAAATTTGACTTGATCTTTTCAATAGCTAAAAACTGCCCTGAAAGAACTGTAACTGTAAGCTTTCATTAGTGAGGTCACAAGATTGTTTCTAAGACAGTGGTACCCAAGAATAAAGTGAAGCAGGAGACACTGGGAATGACAAGAAACCAGCCAGGTAAAGGGCAGAAGCAACTTTCTAATGTCAAAGATGGCCATTAACTTATCCGCCAGTTTCTCATGAATTGTAGGATGACATCAAGTGACCTTCAAAAAGAACAGGAAACATTAAGTGCAGGTGTGAAGTGCACTGCTAGGACAGTTTGTGTAAGGCTCCTAGAAGTATAAAGCAAGGAAGAAGACCTTCATTAATGAGAAACAGAGAAGAACCAGGTTGCAGTTTGCAAAAAAAATTTAAAATTCATGGATGCACACCCATGAATTGAGAAATGAGTGAATCAAAAAATTGTGCTGTGGTCTCTTCCTATGAAAATACAAGTGTTCTAGCGATTTGTATACCTCACACTCAGCGAATTTTTAATCACCAAGATTTCTAAATACTGGAACTGTATTGAAAAATAACTAGTAAAGTCGCTAATACCAGGCAGTCTAGCATCTCCATCATCTCCAGAATTTAAAACGTGTCTGTATATTCTTTAGGCTATTAAACCCACTGATTCCTTTATTTTTAAGCCTATTTTTGTGTGGAATGCCATTGCCAAACCTGTCCGTTGTTGCCTGTAAGTTGCTTAAAAATAAATATTTTCTGACTGGCAATGTTGCCGTTGCTCATATTTCTTTATGACATAAGGCTTCGGTTTAAGGTGACATTTGTTAGGCATGCAGATTATTTGTGCCTCTTTTAAATTGGAGCGAGCGTGGAGCGATTTGACTGGAGCGGGAGGAAATTTTAGTGGAGCGAGCAGCGGTGTTGAGCGGAGCGGCTTAGTGCGAATTAGAGCGGAGGAGCGGGCGGAGCCAACAGCCTCGTGAGCGAGGAGCGGAAATTCTCACCGCTCCACTCCGCTCACATGCTCTGGTACAGGGCCACTTGCACAGTTCCAGGACAGAGGGGCACCAACATAACCATGTGTACTGCCATCTCCAATGATGGAAAATGTCCTGACCCAGAACATTACATCCTGGTATGGAAACAGGCGTATACAGGACATTACAGTAAGGGACTACAGAGAGTGAATCGGGCAGCAGAGCACTGCACCAGATCTTCTCTACCGTCTCCACGGGACATTTATACCAGGAGATGCCAGAGCAGAGCAACCAGTATCATCAGTGACTTGTCTCATCCCAGCAACTGTCTGTTCCAGCTGCTGAAATCAGGCAGGCGCTTTAGGAGTATTACGGTAAAAACAGAGAGACTCAGGAGGAACTTCTTTCCTCACGCCATAAGACTCCTTAATCAGGACACGCCACCACTACACCTGTAATACACACAACCCATGTAAACCCTTCCCAACCTTCACCAACCTGCTGTTTTCAACAATCTGTAACTACATTTCCATCCACCTTTGCTGCTATATTTATATTCATATTTTTTTATATTTATACTTATGTCATCTGCCCTTTAAATATAAAGCTCTGTCATCATATGCACATTTACAGTTTTTTCACCATAAATTTATTTCCTATATTAGTAATTCTGTGTTCCTCTTATGTATACATTTTTACTTATTGTAACTAAGTTTTTTGTAAGATTTTTAACTTTTTGACTTATTCTTAATTCTATTTTTCATTTGATTTGCACAGTCTAAGGGTCGTTCAGGGTAGATTTCACTACATGTTGTACTTGTATAATCATGCATGTGACAAATAAAGTATCTTGTATCTTGAGAGGCTGATCCCCCCAGAGGGGAGAGGGCTGTTGAAGCCCGGCATGCCACTCTTCGTCATTATCTGGGATAATGTGGCATTCCACCACTCTCGCCTTGTCAATGAGTGGTTTGCAGTACACCCTCGTATGATGATGCAGTTCCTCCCAGCATATTCCCCATTTTTGAATCCCATAGAGGAGTTCTTCAGCGCTTGGAGGTGGATGGTTAATAATAACCATCCCTATGAGCAGATGCCTTTGCTGAATGCAGTAACTGCTGCTGCCTAAGAAATAGGTGCAGAGGAATGTCAGTATGTCAGTTTTCAGCCACAGTTTGAATAAAAGAATGTCATGGAATCAATAAAATTTGCATCAAAGCATTTCTGATTCTGGATCCAATTCTTTGCAAGAAGCCAAATTTGACACAGCCTATGTAGAAAGATAACAAATGGCACTGGCATGACAGCTAGGTAATAGGTTACAATGACAAGCAATGGTGCACTGATTTGCACTGAATGCTGTATTTTGTATTATGTTGTCCATTGTGTAATGATTGATTGGAAAGCTCATACACTTCTTTACAAGTTGTGTTGTTTAAAGGCAAAATTTGCTTTTGTTTCATATTTTAAATGTTTTGGCATGGTTAGAGCCTTTTGCAAACGAAATGTGTCACTTTGACCATGAGTGCCACTGTTTAGGTCTGTGCGTTAACTGTTTTGAAAATGTGGAGTTTGACTTGACTGCTGCATGAAAGCAATCAAGAAAAACTGTATGTAGTATGACTTTGGATAATTGGCAGCCTGGTGATGCAGTGGTTACCAATGTTGCATCACTTCTCTGGGACCTGGATTCAAGTCTCTGCCTGGGTTCCAAGTCTGTGCACTTTGGATGTTCTCCCCGTGTCATAGTGGTGTTTCCTCTGGGTACTCTGGTTTCTTCCCACAGTCCAAATACATGCTGCGGCTATTTGGAGTTACTGAATTGCCCATAGGTGTGTATGTGTCAATGAATGGTGTGTGAGTGCATGGTGTGTGAGTGCCTGGTGTGCAGAGGCGCATCTTGTCAGCAGGCAGGGCAGGCAGCTGCTTGGGGCCCCCAAGCCACTAGATGGCGAACGAGAGCTGACACTTTAAACTATGGTCGTGGCAGTTATGTTTTGAACGTTCATTCCTTTGAACTTTATCAGAGAATTTATTAACCTGCAAATCGTGCGCATTATTATCGGTTATCAAAACAAATGACAACTAGAAGAAAATAAAGAGGAGCTATTTATCCGGGAGTGAGAAAAGAAAGAAGAAAAAAGAGGAAGATGAGAGAAAAAAGCAAGACAGCGGTAAGTGGAAAAAATAACGATATAATATGTCTAAATGCTGCTAGTGTAGCTTCACTTGCCTAAGCCTTAGCATAACCGTATTTCTTATGTTTTACTTGACATGTGACAGCAAAGTTAGTTAAGTTGGCCAAAGATACTTATCAGACCGCATTGTGTGTCCAGCTGGCTGTGACGTGACCGAATCGAGTGTGTGCACCGGCCTTGAGGGAGCAGAGAGACCGCAATTGACTCTAGCTCTTATTTCAGTAGAACACAGGGTGCGAAGGTCTTTGGATCTGGAGGACATGGCAACATCATTTGCACAAGCTAAGGCCCGTAAACAGATTTGGTAGAATCAATACTGAAAGAGTGTTGATGGGCAGTGACTTTATAATGTGGTTTAAGGTCTCTTAAGGGATCTTAGTGTGAAGTTATTGCTTTTGGTATTGGACTATGGGTATTTTTAAGTGATACTGCAATTGGCCTGTATTTTGCATTGTGCCAAATTTCTTACTGAAGTACTTACTAACATTGTAACTGTGAAGACATTTTTGTACATAACAATTTCCAAAGGTTAAAAGATCTTAGTTTGAAGATTTTTGTTTTTTTGTATTTTTAAGTTAATTGATACTGTAATTGCCTTGTATTGTCTGTATTGTGCCAACTTACTGAAGTACAGCAGTGTTAATGTGAATGCAGTGCATTTTTATGGCGTAATTTACAAAGGTTGGTTTTGTTTTAAATTATTTTGCTATCTGCTATTCATCCTACAGTTTTTACAAACTTTAAAATGGTTTCATATTTTAAAGTCCATTAACTTGTTGAAAATGGTAACTTGTGAAATAAAAAAAGTTTACTGTTCACAATTTTTTGTTAATGTCAGATTATTTATTAAAATGATGATAAAAACTGGTTAGAGGGAGGGCCCCCAGTGAATTTTTGCTTGGGGCCCCAACAGACCCTAGGATCGCCTCTGATGGTGTGAGAGTGACTAGTGTGTGACTGAATGGTATGTGAGTTTTTTTTCAGTATTTAAAACATTGCGGATATATGATCTATTTCATTATTGCACAAATTTTATTTCTTCATTCTTATCATTTGCACTTTATGTTTCTTTTTTATTATTATTGACATTGCCTGTAGTTTTGAGTGGCTAGTCAAGACCTGTGGCCTGTACTACGAAGCAGGTTTACTGGCTTATCGGGGTAACTTCGCGATTAACCCGTACTACGAAAGGTGGGTAGGTTATAGTCGAGGCATGTTGCCATGGCAATTTACGCTAAGTCTCAAAACTGCTCCGAGCAGTTTTTGTTCTTGGCTAAGTCGAGGTTTCTGCGTAAGCCAGCCCTATATGAGCACCGCCCCTCCAACTACAATTTCTCCGAAGACAATGCCGGCGTACCTGGATGATCCGTACGACATTGGCGCGCGAATCGTGTCGAGGGGCTCTCACTGTTAATATGTATGAAATGGAGCAATGGCATATAATATGCATACAATGTATTAATTAATAACTGTTACAGAGAAAGTTATTCTGAAAACCCAAGGGGTGTGCATTGTTCCCTGTTGTCCACTGATCAAAGCACACTTCACTATAGATGTGCCTGTCTTGTCTAGTTTTAAAGTTATTAATCCATTCATGTATTGTCGACTGCACAGTATACGGATACATTCTGTTCTGTAAAGGATAGTTGTGTTGTATTGATGTTGCAATGAGGACCCATTAGGAGGGGACATATGGGGCGGGGGTCCGGGGAGGAACCGGGAGACAGTAAAAAGCGTATGAACGTGATGCTGCTCTCCGTCTGTTTCTTTCGTGATATATAATTACCCGGTACTTACCCTTTGATGTTAACATAACATAACACATTCGAACATTCAAAA